TCTTAGGAAACGATGTTAAAATAAGTGAGGTATATAATTTATCGAGTAAACGAGTCGTAATAATGATAGGGGAACGTTCCAATTCATTCCCCCAAGGCAGGTTATCAAAATGAATGTTGTAGTAGTTGTTGCAATTAATTCGGGTACGATTTTTTTATTCTTGTTTATAACTCATTAAAATATTTTTTTTAATCCTTTAAATGTAGTTGTTACACCCAAAAATATATTTTTTAATTTCATATCCAGAAAACAAGCAGGTTGACTTAAAAATCATTAAAATACTCGATAAATATTAAAATTCTTTTATAATTATCAAATTATTTCAAACATTGGCTAATCGTCTAACTATTCAAAAATAATTAATTTTAAAACTGTATTGTGTTCCAAACACCTATTAAAACTGACCAACTATATGCTATTCTGTACAACCAGTTTTGCCAAAAAAGCTGTCTATATATAGACATTCCAATTGAATTACCCAATACCTACAAATTTTCAAAGTTTTCGTTGAAGTTGCAATACATTTTTTAGTTAATAATTCCTTCTTTTAACTATTTATGTGTTATATAAATAATTCAAATATATTTCAGTTAGAAGTATATTATATAGAATAAAGACCTCGTTTGTACCACGTTATACGGTTTTTTTTACTATTTCAATACATATGATCTAAGGGTGTCCACACATTGCGCCGGTTACACACATTAGTTTTAGAACTTCTTGTAACTTCTCTTTGCCCAATAAAATTTTCCGTTAGTGTAAAGTATGTTTTAATAGTTCTCTCTATTCTTTCGTTTATATCCTTCTCCTGCTTTCCAGTTTCATCGATTCTAACTCCCAAATACTTGTAGTATTCAACCTGCTCTAAAACTTCATTCTCAATTTCAATTTTCAGTTAGCCTTCGATTCTCCTCCTCTTTTCTGTCTAATTATTCTTATGCCGCATTCTTTTAATAATTCATGTTGTAATATTTCTCTGAAGGTCATCGTTACTTCCTGTAATTATCACAGAATCATCCGCAAGTGCACAGTCCGAACTCTCTATTGTTCTTAAATTTGTATAACCTTAGACCATTTCTTGTTCTTTTATGACATTCCCTCATTATATCATCCATTAACAGTATGAACAAAGTCGAACTCATAACTCCTCCTTGTCTGGTTATGAAGTTTTCGATTGTGCATTTTGCTTTATCACATGGTTTACGCTGTTTTTATAAATGTTCTGGATAACTTTTATCATTTTGTCTACAATCCCTCAGGCACGTAGCCCTTTCCACACTCTCCCTCTAAGCACCTTATCAATGGCCTTCTCTAAATCCAGAAAGGAGAAATATGCATTCTATTTCTTGTATCTGGTTGTCGTGATTACTCTTTTAATGTAAATATGCGATCCTGTACGCTATAAGCTGTTCTGAATCCACTTTGTGTTTCCAGAAGTGTAGATTCTATCTTTGATCTTAATATACGCTCTATTACATGTCTGTATACTTTCAGAACTATGCTCAATACTGTTATGCCCCGATAATTTTTAATTTTTCTTCTCCCCTTTCTTGCAGATTGGTACAATTAGGCCTATTTGTCAATCTTTAGGTATTTCTATTTAATGCCTCTGGTTTCACGGCTTTATTCATTATTTCCATTAGTAGATTCAATACTTTTTCTCCGGTATTATTTAATATTTCCACAGTTATTTTGTTATTTACTGGTGCTTTCTATTTTTTAGCTTTCTTAATGCTAATTTAATTTCGTTTGTTGCCTACCTTTTATTTATTTTCACTCTTGTTACATTTTGACAGTTGGTTCTCTTCTATATCTGTACTCTATTAGAAAGTTCCTGGAAATACTTTTTCCACCTGGTCATCACTTCTCTCCCAGTCTTCTTATTAGTCCGTCTTTATTTTTAATAATCGTTATTTTTGCATACTTATTGTTAAAACTGTAAAATAACGTCTGGTTACTGTCTGATTTTTAATTTCTTTCATTATGTTACCAAAATTTTCTTTTTACTAAATTAGAACTAAATAGAGAAAAATATATAGAAAAACGTCAAAAATAATAATATAATATATATTTTTCCTAAGGTATGATTTTATTAGAAAGATTGAAGCGTTACATGATGAATGAAACTGTAACGAATGACCACGATAAATATGCACAATTCAACTTTGGCAATGGAATAAAGAAAAATTGCGAGATTTAAAAAAAATGTTTTCCAAAAGTTTAATTACGGAACTTCATGTAGTATGGATGTTTGTGAAAACTGCAAAGCTTAGCAGCACTCTAGATATACTATTGGAAAGATAATATGGTAGATTAGGGGATTTCAACCAACTACCCCTTCGAAAAGTTTAATCTCGGATGAGCACCGCTCCAAACTTGACATTTTAGCCGATTAGTGTTAAACTTTCAAAATTTCAATTTCGGGAACGGTGTATTTCTACACCGAAATGCATTCACGAGAATCACGAGCTTTTAAGTGGTATATTGAGATAACCGTTCCGTTAACGATTTATTAGTTTTAAATAGTTATCTATACACTTTGAAATTAAGACGATATTAGTACGATTCTTAATTTCTTTATGAATGTTTGTGAATATCTCAAAATTACTTTATTGTGAAATTTCATATCCTTAGTTATCCAATGATATATCAGATGTAAAATTTGTGGTAATATTTTAGTCCCGAATGAGTATTAGCGACGATAGCGATATTTATACACAAGGAAATATGGTCACAGTATGAACTTGAAAATTACAAACCCATGATGTCCAAAAGTCGATTTGGAATTTTGACAGCCTGCACTCGGTTTGATGAGAGACTTAAAACATATTTACAAACCGAATTCTCAACGATTCGAGTCGACTTTAACATCATACTATACGAAGCAATTACTGTGTTAAGTACAGCATCAAAATTATCACTTTACCACTACTTCGATGCCGTGTTGGAGAATTGGATTCCATCAATAAAATTTGATTGAAGGAGGTAAACACGGCAATAAGTCTGCAAACATCACTGTAAAAGGTTTAGGTTTCTCATGGATTTTCTGTTTCGAAACAACTTTACAACTTGATTTCTCCATCTTAATCCACAGCAAAGTTATGAATTCAAAAAGAAATCTGTTTCTTTTTTCAATTTTAAAGTAAGATTTTGATTGGGTAACGTTCCGTATGTTCAAAAATTCATATCTCTTATCAAAGAAGCGCAACACCAGCAAGTGATTAGGAAAAAAGAAAAAGACCCTAAAAAGTGTTCGGAATAAATTACATCTACATCTTCAAAGATGTAAAAAAAATAGCGGCAATGCGAAGAAGCAGACAGATATTGTAGTGCAAGGAGTGCCGGAGCTCACCAGCGCCATAACCTGAGAGTTTTTCGGTCTTCGAGTCGCCATTTGGAATGCAAACCTTAACAAAATTAACACCTGGTGTCAGAGATATACTCCACAGGACAAACTCACCTGTAAACAATACTCCAATATTGCGGTATATGAAGATTTATACATACTCATAGCTAGAACACAGTTAGTTTCAGATTACAGATCAAATCGAGAAGACCCTAAAAAATAAGCAATATTGCTCGGCGATTTCAACTCTTGGTATCCTACCTAACTGGACGTTTTTCTAGGCGGAGCGGCGACAGGAAGCAGTATATTTAAATTTTTACAGGGTAGCGTTTTGGAACTATCCTTGCACCTGCTTCATTCACATATGATTTGCACAAAACGACAACGTAACCGTAGTAACATTCGCTGATGATACGACAATACTTGCTAGTTGCTTAATAGTAGTTGGACATAGTTCAACAGTGGAGACACAGTGGAGTCTTCCCACGTAAATTGTACGTGTTGTAAAATACACGAAACGCTTCGAAATATGCTAACACAGTAAAATACCTAGACATGACTTTGGACACAAGGCTCAAATTGTCATGTAGCTTCCAACATGTGAAGATACCGCGAAGAATTCGGCTTCTGAGTGCGATAAATGTATAAGCTGTTGTAACGACACTCCAATATGTCCACGCAAAATAAATTAATTGTGTACAACCAGATTCTTAAAACAATCTGGGTATATGGAATTCAACTGTGATCATGCGCAAGCAATAATAAAGTCAAGACTATCCAGACGTGGCAAAATAAGATTATGCGGATGATCGAAGATATTGTGTACTTACTACTTGCTTCTAGACAATACTAACCTTTACCGTCAATTTAGGAAGAAAAAACCCTTGGAATTGTAAAAGTCCATCGCAATTATTCCGTAAAGATTATTGACCTTTATAACGTTACTACATATTAGTTAGTAACAAATTTATAGTTTCTTAAATGTTGCTTAAATTTGATATTTATTAATTTGGACTACTTTTATATTTAAAAAAAAATCTTATTCTTTATATCACGAATTTTTATATTTTAATAATATAATTTATATCAACGAAACAACCTCACAGTGAATATTCTATAACAATTGGTCTTTCATTTCTCTATCTTAATCCACAGCAAAGCTATGAATTTTTAAAGATTCAGTTAAATTTTAAAATAATATTTTGGTTGGGTTGTGTTTAATATATTTGAAATTTTATATCTTTAATATAATAAACGTTGGAAAACCAAATTCACAGAAAATATTCTATAAAGTTTCATATTTAATTTAAATATAAATTGGATCCATCTTAATTAGGAACGTTATCAATTTTTTTAATATCGCTTAAATTTGTTTGCATAAAAATTGTTGTTACTTTCGTTAAATTTTTGTTCAATTATTAAATCAAATATTACTAAAAAAAATTTCCAAAATTAGCAAACATGATTTCATCACACAAAAGTAACATTCCAAAAAAAAATGTTGATTCATAAAAATTCTATAATATTAATTCATTAATCTTTTGGAAGGCAAAAATGATTAAATATATTAAAATAAAAAATAAGTTAAAATGAAAAATGTCTTGAAACTGATTAATTAACAGGATAGTCATAAATCAAAAAGTTATTAACTCACCTCTAGGGTTTAATTTTTCTGGGATAAACCAAGCATCTGAAAATACAAAAAAAAACGTTATTACTTTTATTGCAAATAAAATGTTACATAATTTAATAATTCAAATCAAACCATAAAAGTATTCAAATAGCTAATAATGATTCAAACAACAACTTGAAACTGCGTTTCGAACAATAATTATTAATTAACACATTTAAAGCGATAAGACAAAGAAAGTCTAAACAAAACGTTATAACACACAATATTCCACTGTTAAAGAATCATGTTCTCTTTGTGATTCAATAAAAACGTATTGTTCCCATTTTTATAAAGCGAAAGTGGATGAAAAAAACTTTCTTATAACTAAATAATCAATCAATTAAAAATATGTTAATAATAGTGGGAAATTTTCCCTCGATAAAAACGTTTCCGATAATCCAGTAATCGATATTATACTTATATTACGATTTTTCTTTCACCCTATTTTATCAAAATGCAGATAACAATAAAAAATAACAGCACCGGTTTATTTTTAGCGAAGTTTTTCAATTTTCCATTTCACATTGTCAAGTATAAATCAAGGTCAAAAAGACTTCTTTAACAACAACAAAATAATCTTTATAAATCTTTTAGTTTTAATTTCAAATAAAAAAATTTCACCTACATGGATTCATTAAACTGCACAACATCGATTTTCCACAATTCGACATCTTTTCGTCACCCTTCAACGTTGATAACTTAATCGTAGCACCGTTAATCGTATCATCAACCACGTTTTTAGCAAGTGAGAGTACTTGATCGGTGGACATTTTTTCGTTAATTAAAAAAAATTGGCACCGTACAAATTTTTATATTTATTAATTTTTATTGCAAATATATATATTATTTATCAATCGGTGTTAAAACGCGAACGTCACGCCGGTTTGGATTCAATCGTTCTACTGGAACTGGGCAGGCGTTCTCGGTACAATATCGACCCAAACCGAGGGTATCTAGAGCCAATACTGCTAGCGTAGTGGCACACTGCTGCAAAGTACCTTTCCTGCTTTTTGGCAACTCACCCACCCCGGGATATTAACAAATTTACACGATTAAAAAACAACACGCAACAAAAATTAGACACTGCAATCAAAATGAAATATTACAACAAAATTTAGTTTTAGAAATTATCTTATCTTGATTACTAATGTAAATAAAAACGATTTTTAAATGATACAACAAAGAGATTTTTAAGTGTACTGAGAGGACTTTTGCGATTGTCTCGGTAAATATAAGTTAGGGGAGATTAAATTGGAAAATAATTAGGGTCGTTAAGTAATGGCTGGATGTGGATGATGAAAGAAAAGAATTTAATGAGGTAGATAACACATAGAAATTTTTTTCTTGGTAAATAAAAAGTACAAAATAAAACTGTTTATAAAGAATTAACTTAAATAGATTTTAAAATTATTTGAAGAGTTAAATTGGAAAATATTTAATTAAAATTTAAAGTATTAAATGTGATAGTTAACTTATTAAATAACAGTGTTACTTTGGTTGCCTAGATTTGAGTTAAATAAAATTAATTTATAAAAAAATCAATATATTTTTTGTCAAATAACCTGAGAGAGTCAATGACGTAACAAATGTTAGATTGGCAAAATGCCAAGGCCAAAAAGGATCCACCCCATAAAGAAAAAATATATTTTCATTAATAATAATATCCTTAGAAATTAAAATTGCAACGTTTTCACATTTTTTGATAAAAATTTAAAGTAAAACGAGACAGTGTTTTATATTATCGAAAGGATATGTTTCACTATAATGGGGTCGTTGTCCTCAATGGAATAGAAAGACCGTCTTTCAAAAAATCGATAAACTATGTAAAAATAGAAGGATTGATAACATTTTCAGATCCTAAAATAGTTTAATTTTTACAATAATTAATATTAAAATTCAAAATCCTCTCTATAAAAGCTTTGGTGACGTTTACGAAGATTTCGCGTAAGATGAAGAAGACACAAACGTGCATCATTCGGATCTCTTCTTCTAGCGCATAAGATTCTCGTGGCATCTCGCTCATGCATCTTTTATTGATTTTTATTTCAACCAACCGCGTGCGAAACGACGGTGACGTCTCCAAAGTTTTATCAAATTTTCATGTTCAATTTTCTTGAAAAACTAAAGTCCAGTTTGAAAAATAAAAAATTATAGAAGTCTTCCATTTTGCTAAACTATTTGATATCACAACCATTCCTTAGAATTCGAAAATAAATAACGTATCATTCCTTTCAATTACAACATGTTTTGTTTGACAGGTAAAGTTAAGATTAAAACTGTATAACATTTTGATATTAAAATTTCAAGGTAGTAATAAAACAATATAAATCATACACCGTTTTAAAGAGAATACTTTTAGCTTTAAATTCGTACTAATGGTATTTCTCAACAATCAAAATTACACCTTGCAGGATTTTTTGTAATTGACAATATATTTATTTGAACATTTCCTATTTTTTTGGACAGAAATGCCAAATAAAATGATATGAGCTATATAACATCGGACAGAGGATATTTTTAACTATAATTTAGTATCAGAACTGTTCCTTAATTTTCAAAAATATGTCAGGTATCATGTTTTTTTAATTTAACTATACTTCGCTTCCTTGGCTAACTTAAGATACAAATTGGTACCTACATTTTTATGATAAAATTTGAAGGTAGTATTAAAAGAATATCAAAATATGTTATATACCATTTTAAAGAGAATAGCTTTATATAGCTTTAATTTCACATAGAAATTGTATTTGAAGTGCAGTCAAATTGCAATATTTTCTTAACTTCTTTTAAACTCTGTCATGGAATGGACATTTGCAGGTAGTTTTGCACAAAGCTAGACTATCCTTGTGGACTTGTCGCAATCTTTGTGGAAAAAATTGGGGTCTTACCCCTGAAAGACTGTACTGGCTCTATGTGACTGTGGTTAGACCTATGATCACATACGGAGCAGCAGCCTGGTATAGGAAAGTCCGACAGACTTCAGTTATCAGTAAACTTTCACGAATTCAACGAGTAGCTGGATTGGCAATCTCTGGTGCGATAGGTACAACGCTAACTCTAGCAATGGAGGTTCTGCTTGGCCTATCTACTCTGCATTTGCATATAGAGAAAGTGGCTAGAACAACCATTTACAGATTTAAGCAATATGCTCAAAACTGTTCCGACATGTCCTACCAATGGGCTGCGGAAGACATTATAAGCACTGATACTGTGCCAGCAATGCCGTCAGATTTGGCGGTATCACTATCAGTGATTAATGCTCGATACCAGATTGTACTGCCTGAGCGGCAGTCCTGGATCGAAAATGAAAATTCTCTGGTTCAGGCAGGCATTTGCTTGTACACAGATGGATTAAAAACGCCTGAAGGGGTAGGAGCAGGAGTATACTGCCAGACACCTCGAATTAAGCAAGCTTACAGCCTGGGTACGTACTGTACTGTATTCCAGGCGGAAGTATTTGCTATTGACATGGGTGCTAAAATCCTTCTTGAAAGAGGGTTGAAGAACATGACAGTAGGAATTTTCTCAGACAGTCAAGCCGCTCTCCAGGCGCTGCAAGCCGTGAAAACGGTGTCGGCTCTGGTCAATGATTGTAAGAGAACATTAAACAGACTGAGTTGTGATAACAGTGTCTCACTGATCTGGGTCCCGGGTCACTCTGGGGTTGCTGGCAATGAAGCGGCAGATAAGCTAGCACGAGAAGGCAGCGCTGAAGCGTTTGTGGGGCCGGAACCAGCAGTTGGTGTATCATTTGCGATGGCCAAATATAAGATTGGACTGTGGGCTGAAGAGAGACTTCGCCTACTGTGGACCAGTTCTCCTGGAATGAGACATGCTAAGGTGTTTATTAACATCGCCACTGTCAAACCCGGGAATATTTTAGGACTTGCGCGTAGTAGCATAAAAGTTCTAATGGGTGTTTTTACTGGGCACTGCCGATTAAAAGCACACCTCAACTTGTTGGGTTTAGCCGACGATGTTGAATGCCGACTATGTGCGGAGGAAGCAGAGATAGTTGAGCATGTTTTATGCCACTGCCCTGCCGTATCAGATTCTCGATTTTTGGGTCGCAGTTTATCTCCTCAAGGGATCTGAATGACCTTTCGCCGAGCAAGGTATTAATGTTCGTTAAGAGCATTGGACTGCACGGTGAAATTTGATAATGATATCTATCGGGGTACAATAGATCCTGAGGGTCGCGGTGCAAGGTTGGTCCACCTACCCGATATGTAGTCGATGCAATGAAATGTAATGTAACTTCTTTTATTGTGAAATTCACAATAAAATGATATTGGCTGTAATTTCGTATCAGAACAATTTTTTTCATTTTAGCTTAATTTGATATAAAAATTATGTCTTTGAAATAAAAGCTATATCATACAGGATGTTTTAAAATTAACAATCATATTTCTTTCCTCATATCATTAACCAAATGACAACATTTTCACTGCGTTTCCTCACAAGATAATGAAGTGCTATCTATTCATCAATGCTTTCAAACCGTTTCAAGGGGATATTGAATACATAGATAATTGAATGCCTCACTCACCAACAGTCAACCAACATTTACGTTTTCTTTTTCTTTACGTTTTCAACCAAAACCGTATTTATTGAACATCTAGATTATTATAGTTATTTGAAAAATATGTTTTTCCTCTACCTATATGGTGCAATCACTTTCTTTTGGTCTTATTTATGTTATTTCTTGTTCAAAAACGATTTAAATTTTTGATTGAAAACTAAAACTAGTTAAAGTGAATGAATCCCTTTCTATCATTTATGGTGTATCTTCTAGGATTCTACCAGGATCGCTATTAGGTTATACTTTGTATACAACCTATACCATTCTTGTACCGATTTAATTAGTATACGATTTACATTCCCTCCTATCAATATTATCTCAACCCACTCTTAAACAAAATTCCAGATAATTGGACAAGCAAGAATAAAACAATCCTCGGTTAAAAACTTTTTTTGTGTCACAGTTTAGATGAGCTTGGCAGTTTTGTAAGAAAGCA